CTTTAAAAATGAAATTTTAAAAAACGAAATGTACTATGTTCTACTTCAGAAACTGACCAAGGTGTGGGTCACACATGAAATTCTGCATGCATTTTATTAACTTTACATGTACGAACTATCCATTGTTGAGGATGACACTATCTACGAACACATACAATCTAATATCTAGCACCTTATCTCCAAGAACACTGGTATTTTATATACAGTTACAGCTTAGATTTAGGAGAACTACCACAGAAGGGAATACACCACTGAAACAGACCAAAATACCAAATTTTTAACATTAAAGTTGTAACACAGATGAAGCATGGTGGGGAATCCACTCAACTTTAAAGCACCAAGCTAAAACCAATCTTGTTTCCGTCTACAGTTTGGAACAAGGGAGATCCAGTAATGAGTCTTCAAACATAGCGAGCCTCTCGTGAGTGTAGAAATTATGTGGTTTCCTCTTGGTGTGTGTACTTTGAGATCTAAGAGTTTTGGGAGGCAATGATGGGAACATTTGATTCCTACTGGCAGCCTTCATTTTTACCTCGAGGATTCTTATTCTACTTACCAAAGAGCAGTGAACTTGCCAGTGACGTGGCAATCAGTGGTCAAGTTCGGTGGACTGCAGCTTTCCTACTTCTTCCTTCAGCCAGTCTTGTTGCTTTTAGCAGAAGACTGCTGTAAACAAGCTGGGCATTTGCCATCGAGGAAGAGATCCTTTGTAAGTAACTGGAAAGAATTTATGACAAGGGCTTCTTTTCAAGTTTTAGGCTATGGTCTGCTATCTGCAGCTCACTGCTTCCATCTCCTCGTGCCTAAGCTGGGAGGGGCTCTGAGGGGGGTCAAGAGCACCTGTCCAGCCCACAGAAAACGAGAGAGACAGAGATAAGGAGGGAGAGGGTTAAAAGCCATGACTGACCAGATTTTCTCTCCTTATCTTGGTAACTGGCTGGCAGCCAACTGTTCCTTTAATCTTTTTGTCTGCTCTAGAAGGAAAAGACGTTTTGCTTAGAGAAGCCTCTCCTGACAGCATGGGGTTTGTCTTAAAGAGGAACACAGCAAAAAACAAAAACAAAAACAAAAAACAACAACCAAAAAGAACCATTATGAGGGGCAAACACTTCTTTTGTTTTTTGTTTTTTTTTTCCTCAAAATATGGGGGAGGATAGTTGTGAGAGAAAAAACCAGTCCAGTAGTTTAAATTGTTGTTCTCTGTGTTTCATCCCGACAACCTCTGAGGGTTTTATTTTGGAGAGTTCCAATTACCAGATGATGCATAATTCTTCTCTTCCAAGTGGTGTATTTCAGACATTTTTAAGAGCATTTTGGCAAAGTCTAAGAAAGAACGCCTAGTTTAATCTTGTAAATTATTCTTCAAGGTAGTATGAAAAAAATCTTTTGAAGTAACTTTAGCTTAATTGGCTAATTATGTATAAAATAAGGCAATGTTAGGCACCTTATAATTTTATAGGTAAAAGTTTTTTTAGTGTTTTTTTTTTTCCTGCTGCAATCAGTGGACAGTATCTACAGGACTGAAGGTGTCCCCAAAGATGGGCTGTATTGGGTGCTTTTTGGGTAAGAAATGAGGTGCCGACCTCCTCCTAAGCTATAAAATGGCACTTTTCCTTACCTGTTGAATTTGAAGTTGATATCCCGTCATCTCTAAATTGGACTGGAGTGGGGAGGAGAGAGAAAAATACCTTTTACTGCTGCTCACTCCTACCTTTCACTTCTCTCCTTCCCTGCTTCCATGGGCCTCCAGGTTCCTGCAAATCTGTCAGCTCTGGGTGCAGGAGGGGACTCGCCAGCAGGGCAAGGGGAGGGAGGGGGAGTGAGACAGGTGGAGGCAGGGGCCTGCCGGCAAGAGGTAGGCAGGGAGCTGCTCTTTGTGGTGTTTTCCAGAAGATGGACCCTTGAATCACAGAAGCCATGGAAGCCCAAGGCTTGCTCCTTATTACTGCCTTCCCAAGCTTTTTGAAATTGGTGTGTTAGTGAAAGCACCTGCGACTCCTTGGCAAACTAGATGCTTTATTATTTTTAAATAAGGAAATCATTAAATTGGAAATCACATCATTTCAAAGTCTGATTTGTCTGGCCCCTGTACTTTAATGGGATTTTTACTGCACATATGAAGTGGCCTTGGCAAAAGAATACATCCTTTAAAAACATTTAGGGAATGCTATTGCACATGAGGATCTGTGAGGCTAATGATGACTTTTTTGTGTGCTTTCAGATTTTTAAATGACAAAACAGTATGTGCAGCAAAACCTCATTAGGTTGATAGTGTTCTATTCAAAATAGCACAAAATTTGAAGCAGTTGCTATCTCGAGCTAACCAGAGGCCCTATTGTTCATTAAGTAGAAAATGTCAGCAAAGCAGAGTGCTCTTAATTCAAAGGTCCTCTTTTCCAGTCTCCTAATTTTCAAAAGGTTTTCACCTTTGAAAAATCCAATTTGCTGTAAGAACGGACAATGACTAAAATAGGGAAAAGAGGAACTTTATAAAGGAAATTGGTGAGTCTTGGTGGCCCGGAGAATGTTGCGTGTGCTGTTAAGTGAACTTACCACACTCGGACAGGCTCTGGTTCCATTTTGATTTGGGATTTTGGCAAACAATTTTCTCTGATACACTTTGAAGGGGTTGAGCTTTAAAAAATAAAACAAGAAGTTCAGTTTCAACAAAATATTTGGAGACACGTGTGTTGGAAAACCTGTTTCCTACCCAGGTAAGCATTTCTACTCAAAGGACAGGCTCTCGCTACTTTGAACTGTTTTGACCATGACAGACCTTCAAGGCGATACCCTTCCCCCGTATTAAGAGGCCTGGCCACACGGGCCATTTCTCCACCCAGCTATCCTTTGAGGACAGGTCGCTATGAGAGTTTGGCAATAAATTGGTATAATAAATTTATGACTATTAATTCACTTTATACATTTTAGTAGAAAAATAAAGGATAGTGCAAGGGGAAATTTCAGCCCACACTTGTCAGAATTACCACACGCTCCAGGGTAATGAGGTTGGAACTGATAAGATTTTCACGGACACACTGAGTCGACAGGCCAGCTCAGTACCGTTTGCCTCTACCCCCTCTCCTTTCCTAAATTCTGAACGTGGCAATCCCAAGTTTCCACGCAGACTTATTCATAGCCCACATACACTGCTGTTTACCTCTCCCCCTTGAGAAGCTCATGTTGGAATCTGTGAGGAGGAAGAGATAAAAAAATTCAATGAGTTGGTCCTTTACATGAATGAAATTTGAGTTCTAACATAGACATGGTAATCACACAAGAATGAGGCTAAACTCTGAATACGGCCATCTTTATGTACAACCACCCGACGAACCGGTTTTCAACCAAATACCCCCTCCTCTCCCTCCACCCATATTAATGTTGGCTTTCTGCATGAACAGTTGACTGGCCATGGAGTTGCTTTCATTTGATCATCAGGAGGATCAAAAACACTGTCTTGACCATTTTGGGGGTCCATGTTTATTTGGTCATGTCAATGTGGTCTGTGCCCTCAGAAATACACAGGCATATCCTGACCCAAAGTGATTTTGGGGTCTGAGATGTGAAAGAGCCTTCCTCTGTATTGACCCTGGGGATAATTTAGGTATTGTAAAGTCTTTGCCAAAGCAATGTATTTCAGTAGCAATACTTAGGATATGTCTGACCCGAATGCTTTCACTTAGGATTGTTTGAAATAGGTCAGATGCTTGCCAGGTATTGTGAAACCACCGTCTCTGCTATTTCTGACTCTCTTCTATTTCTCTTCCACATCTGCAGGGAGCTTAAAGGCTTTAGAGAGAGCCACAGGTGGAAAAGACACATGGGTGTGCCTGGAGGAAGGAAAATGTTTAGCCTGTCTTACTTGCTCCCCACGTGGAGGTCATGTCACTTGTCTATGATCCCACGGACACAAAAGAGATTTCTAATGGCCACATCACTCTTGATTGGCAGTGTGAGTTTTGTAAACTTTTAGCCACTCCCAGTCACGTTTCTTTCTTTTTTTTTTTTTTCTGGAAATACTGTTTGACCAAAAAGGCCTATTTGGGAACCCCCGCACCCCCACCCCCGAACAAGTGACTGGCAGAGGAGATTTGGAGGATTCTTATGAGCATCCCGATTCAATCACAAAGGGAAAACTGTGAAATTGTGGCATGCTTTCTGTCTCACTATTATTCGAATAGGAGACAGAAAATAGCTTTAGTGTCAATTGACAATTTTCCATTTGCGTGGAATGACCTGGGTCCCAGCCCCAGCACAAACCCAGGGTTTTACGGAAAAGAGCCAACTGTTTAGCCTCATGGATGTGTGTTATTTCTCCACCTTTTCCCTTGGACTACCTTCCCATTTCAAACATGCCCTAAAATCCTGTTCTGCTTTTCTGGATCCCTTTCGAGGACCTAGAAACTTTCTTGGTATTTTAACTACACGATGCCCTTTGCCTTAGTTTCCATAATAGTCTTTACACCAGATCGTGGGTCTCTTCAGTTTAGAACTTGACTCGTACATTGATCAGTCAGTGGGGGTTCTGCTTCTTGGGCTCCATGAATGATTTGGTCCGCTGCTTTTCTTTCAGTTGAACACAGGCTGTAGCCCTTACCCATAATCTCTTGACCTGAGGGCCTAAAAGTCCTTAAGTTCACAGGCATCATCTTCCTTTTTCCTCAGAGCAAAAGCTGACACGCTGTAGCTCTGGGGAGACAGACACAGGTCCAAAGTGGATAGCCCTTGTTGCTTTAAGAAATTTAGAGCCTAATACTTTTTTGGGGGGGGAAATTTCAGTCAGAATCCTCAAGTCTGCGCTTTGAGGGGCACACTTCTAAGGGAAAACTCCAGTTCCTACCTCTTCCACATGTTTCTCTATCTTGCGGTGAGAAGGATGTGTGCAAGGCCTTTGCCTGAAATGGTATGGGTTGGCGTTACCGGGATTGGGGGCGGTCCACGGAAAACAAAGCTGCTCCTGTTTCTGCACTGTGCACGGTTCAAGCTTTGCCTTCGAACTAGCTTCAAGGCGAAATGGCAGAATCATGGGAAGGGATGGTCTTGCCTTCGGTCCCACCCTCTGTGCCGGCTTCTGTTCCCGGCAGGTCTGGGTGGCTGTCTTCTTTTGGGGGCTTTTCCTTGCAGAAGAACTTCTTCAGCATATCCTGGATTTCCTTCTTGATGGTCTTGTGCATGTAGCCGTAGATGTACGGGTGGATGCAGCACTGTAGGAAGAAAAGCCAGATGATGATGGTGATCACCCACTGGGGTACCTTGGTTTGGACATCCACCCACACAGCCAGGACTGCTAGGAAGCAGTAGGGCCCCAGAGACAGCACGTAGGAGAAAATGATGAGGAAGATCACTTTCGCAGCTTTGCACTGGTAGCACCTGGGCAGAGGAGGGTCGCTGGCGCTGTTTCGGCGACTGGGCGGGAGACTCTCTGGGATGTTCACGGCCTCGATGTCATCCTCACTGAAATTGATGGCCTCCTCGCCAAACTCCATGTCATCTTCACCCAGGTCGATGTTGCACTGGCCTTCCTCCGTGCGGCCCTTGTCTGCCTTCAGGCTGCCCTCTTCCTTGCCCTCCGCGCTGCCTTCCCCGGCCACCACCGAGCTGCATTCTCTGACCCCCTCGCTGCCCTGGGCCGTGCTCCCCGAACTGCTCTCCACGCTCCCTTCCTTGGCCTCCACGCCGCCCTCCTGGACCTTGACCTCACCTCCATGCTGGCCACGGATCGCATCCTTCCTCTCTCCCTCTTCAACTTCATTCTCCACACGGTCCTTGGCCCGAACCTCCAAGCTGTGGCTCTTGACGTTGTACAGCAGAGCATGCTGCCGCCGGGCCGCACCGAACACCACGGAGTAGCAGGCAATCATGACCACCAGTGGAATGATGATGAAGGACACCACGCTGAGAATGGTGTAGCTGGGGCTGGCCCCCCAGATCATGGAGCAGAGGGCATTGCGCTGGTCAAAGGCAGCCTGGCCCCAGCCGTAGAGAGGGGGTGTGCTCTGCAGGATGGCCACGATCCAGGTGCCGTAGAGGAGCATGTACCCCCGGCGCGGGGTCATCTTGGCGGGGTAGGAGAGGGGGTGGATGATGGACAGGTAGCGATCCACGGACACCACCACGATGGTGTTGACACTGGCAAAGGCGAACAGGTGAGTGAGGCTCACCAGGGCGGTACAGAAGTGGCTGTTGAGGGGCCAGAAGAGAGGCACGGAAGTGGCCACCACCCAGGGGGCCACGAGCGAAATCTGCAGCAGGTCAGTGACGAGGAGGTTAAAGATGAAGCGGTTGGTGACCTGCAGCAGCTGCGGCTTGCGCTGCAACACGAGCGCCAGCACTATGTTGCCGACGAAGGAGGCGGTGAGGAAGATGAGCAGCACGCTCGAGCGGATGATGCCGTGAGCCAGGCTGATGGGCATTTTGGAAAGGGGCAGGCACGTGTGGCTGCTGTTGCTTTCGCGTGTGCTGTTGGTGCAGGTGGACGTCATGGCGGCGGCGGGCGGGCCGCACGGGCCGTGGCCAGTGCCTGTGCTGGGGCCGGAAGAAACACCCGGGGCCGGGTTAGTCACCCCGCCCTCCCCGGGACCCCCGCGCCGCCCTGGCCCGCGGGAGGGCAGTTTCTCCGCACCTCCTCTTACTCTCCCGGGCCCTCCGCTCGGCTCTCCCTCGGGGTCTCGGGGTCTCGGGGTCTCGGGGTCTCGGGGCTCCCCGCCCCCCGCCCCCGCCGCTCCCGCGGGCGTGCGCGCGCTGCGTCTCTCCCACATCGTCTCTGCGTCTCTCCCGCGATCTCTGGCGCTGGCGCATGCGCGCGCGCTGTTTCATGCCCGAGCGCTGTCTCTGCCTGTTTACGTGTCGCTCCATCTCTCCCCAGTGTCCCTCACTAGCGCACTTGCCCTGTGGCTCTTGGGGGTCTGTGGCCGTGTCTCACCGTTCTTCTCCAACTCTCTCGCCCGGGTCTCTCACCCTGTCTCCTGTCTCTCCTTCCCAGTCTCTCGCTAGCACGTGCGCGCAGTCGTTCCCCGTCAGTCTGTCGTTCTCTCTCCAAGCTTTCCGTCTCTTTGTCACTCCCGTCCGTCCCTTCAGGTCTCAGTCAATTTCTCGGACTCCGTCCCCTCCCCCGCCCCCCGCCCCGTTACTCTTTCGCCAGCGCACTTTCTCTGTAGCTGTGCGCGCACGTCTCTCTCTGTCTCTCTCCTCCCGTCTCCCGGCCTCGTCCCCGTCTCTCCCGGCGTCTCTCGCTGATGCGCTCCCATCTCTCTGCGTGTCTCTGCCGGTCGCGGTCTCTGTCCCTCGCTAGTGCGTGCGCTGCTCGGTCCTTTCCCGATGCGATCTCGTCTCTCCCGGTCTCCCCCAGCCTATCTCCCTGACAATCTCTGTGGGTCCCCAGTGCCCCTGTTCAGTATCCCTCGCTGCCTGCGTGTCCCAGTCGCTCTCCGCGTCTCCCTCTGTCTCCCGCGTGTCTCCCTGCGGATTCTGTCTCTCCGCGCGTTTGGTTCCCTCTTTACCGCTGTCTGCCCGTCTCTCGCCGTTGCCTCTGACGATCTGCCGCTGTCTCTCCGGGCTCTCCCTGTCTCTCGTGGCTCGGGCTATCTCGCTAGCGCGCGCACTTACACACTCGGGTTCTCTGTCTTTCCCTCTGTCCCCGGGACTCTCGCGCAACACTTTCTTCGTATGTTTTCAGTGCGTGTGTATCTCTGTGTCTCTCCGTTTGCCTCCGACGATCCCTCACCTCGGTTTTTCTCTGGCCGGATCTCTGTCTCCGATCTCTATCTCTGGGTTGACTATTTTGCCATGGAAACCAGCTGCCGCCCTGGCTACCGCGGGCTCCGGCGGATAAATCTCCTAGTTTCTCAGCGGCGCGGCCGCAGCGGGAGGCAGGGAGGATGCCTCCTGCGACCCCCTCCCTGTATCCTCCAGCCGCCCCCCCCCCGCCCGCTATCTCCCTATCTCTCGCAGCGGCGCGGCTGGGGAGCGGGGAGCTCGGGGGGAGCTCGGGGAGAGGAGAGGAGGCAGGGGTGCCGGGCTGGTGGGAGAGTCTGAGAGAGGCAAAGCGGGAGACACCGGGAGGCAGAGAGAGAAAGGGAATGAGAGACAGAGAAAGAAAAAATGAGACCCGGAGAGACAGAAAGAGAAGGAGAGACGGAAACAGGATGAGAGCCACCCGCAGAGGCAGAGAAAAACGAGAGGAAGAGGAATGGAGACCACGAATGAGAGACAGCAAGCGAATGAGAGGCAGGGAGAGACGGAGAGAGGAAAATCGAAGAGAGACTGAAGGAAGAGAGGACGGGGAGCAAAGGGGAGAG